ATATTGTATAATCAATAAACTTTCTATAACTTTTGACAAGCAATACTGTGTAATCAGAATATACGTCTTACGACTTTTGATTATTTTTTATGTGAATAAAACATAACTATATTTGTTGTAAACTAATTACTTTATTGTATATATTTGGAACTAACTCAATAAGTTACCCATATTAAAATTCAACCCATGAAATTAAAAAAGGAAAAATCACCCTATATACACATTTAAGAGTAAATATTACGGGTTTTAAACCTACTTTTAAAAATTTCTTGCTTATAACAGATTATTTACGGGCTATGACATATCAATTAAATTTAATTTAATTTTAAATTATATTTATTTAATAAATTATTAATCTATTTATAGTTTTTTATTATTAATTAATAATAGATAATTAATTTGATTTTACTTCCTTTTTTAAAAAACTAAAATTTTCAGTTACCCAATTTTAGGGATTTCCTTTCCTTGTTTACTGTTACCATCCCCAATCATCAATCACACCACCATCCCACACGTTTCTTCACTCCCACACGACTCAACCCACAACCCACTATCAAACTTTCTCCGTTCTTTCTCATCTAGTCCAACATCAAAATTGATTACCCATCTTACCCACAATTATTCATCATCATGTCTAAGAAACAAATTGAAACTCCACGAAAGAGCCTCATACTTGATGGAATTTCAACTGATGATGCTCATGCTCCATCGTTTAATATATTATCTCAAACATCCCGTCTAAAACTGTTCAAATTTCGATCACCGGTGGTCCATCTCGTTCGAAGAAACAAAAAGATAAAAATAATGAAGCAAACCAAAGTGCGGCTACGGCAAATCAAAGGGGAAAGAAGAGGAAGGGGAAAAAACTTGTTGAAACCCCTCCAGAGTCTGATTACGACTCAGATTCAAATTTTATTGGTCAAACAAAAAAAGCAACAAAGGTTGAAGTCGCTGAAACATCAAAACCTTATACAAGAAGAAAAACAAAAAAGATGAACCGGAATTACCAAAATCCAAAAAGCCCAAAAAAGTGGTTAAGGTAAGTAATTTATTTAATTTATTTTTCACATTACTCAAAATAGTTTATTTTTTTATATCACATTATTATTATTGTTGTTTTCAAATTTTTGTTTTTCTGAAATTTGTTCCAAATCTGAATAAAATGTTTATGCATTTGATTATAAACTTTAAATGATGTATTTTGTATGAATTATGATACAACATTGATATATGCATATGAATTATTAATTTTGTTTTCAAATTTTATGATCTTATTTAACTACTTTGTATGGTATAGGTACTCCTGAAATTTTTTGAATAATAAGTGTATGAAGTGTGTGTGAAATGTGAATATAATGTATGTCATATTTTTTTATAAATATTGTCTATGAAATGTGTGTGAAATGTGAACTATGGTTATTGCTGGAAAGAAAATTGTGTATACAATGTGTGTGAAATGTGAATATAATTTATGTCATTTCTTTATACATAATGTATATGAAGTGTGTGTGAAATGTCAACTATGGTTACTGCTGGAATGAAAATTGAATTATATGTGTGTGAAGTGTGTATGAAATGTGAAACTATTAAGTTATGTATGATTTGTGTATTGTAACTGAATAATATGTGTATGAAAATGATATTTCTGTATGAAACTGAATAATATGTGTATAAAGTATATTTTAATGTAGTATACACAATTTTATTTTATAGGAAAGGAAGAGACACACACATTGGTCTTCATGTACCAACATGAATGTGTTTGCTGATCTTTTGACTTTTCTTGGGCAAGAGAGATTTCAACAATCCTATGGCATTATGGAAAAACAAAGAATGAAGATGGCGCGATCAGCGAAAGTGAAGTTACTGGTACGGTTGCTAGCAAATTTGGTGGACCTCGGATAGCAAAAGAACATGTTCCGGATACCACCAATTATCCTACACCAATACCACCGACTAGAAAGTTGAAATAGTTGATTGCACATTCTACTTTTTAAGAATTACATATTATTATTTTTAACTTTTGGATAAATTTTTTCTGTTTAACTTTTTGGATGATTCTTTTTTGTTTAAGTATTTGATGATATATACTACAATATCGAAAGTGAAGTTACTGGTACGGTTGCTAGCAAATTTGGTGGACCTCGGATAGCAAAAGAACATGTTCCGGATACCACCAATTATCCTACACCAATACCACCGACTAGAAAGTTGAAATAGTTGATTGCACCTTCTACTTTTTAAGAATTACATATTATTATTTTTAACTTTTGGATAAAAAATTTCTGTTTAACTTTTGGATAATTCTTTTTTGTTTAAGTATTTGATGATATATAGTTGATTGCACCTTTTGATTCTCTTTTGAATGTTCTAAAAATTGTAACACTGTGTTTTTAATTATACACATGGTGACTGGCATGCACTAACCTATAATGTTTGGATATTATAAGTTCAGGACAAAAACATTATACAGACTTCATACAGTTCTGATACATTATTTTTTAAAGTAGCACTGTGTTTTTTAATTTGTATAACGAATGGATGAAACGTGTATGAAATACATTTTATATGCATATGTCTATGACTTCAATATTAAATGTTGGATATTTGTATTTAGTCATGGTATAATTTTTATAGTTGTATTTTGTCTTATTTTCGTTTGAATTAAATATGATTTATATATGTCCGACAACAACTTAAATTAGTCACTAATATATACAATATCTTTAATATGGAACAAATTTTATCATTAACGATATGTAAGTTGTGTCACATTTGTCTTAATTTATACACGATTCATTCATTAAGTACACAAAATTCATACAGCTGTTATTAAAAATTGTTCCAAGTACTAAATTTATAACATTATGCATTCTGTATGATAACTGAATGATAAAGACTAGAAGAATCGTATATAACCCCCTCCATTTGAAAATCGACATAATTCCCTGTTTCATTAAAAAAAA